TATAAACCTGTATTATTTAAAACAATTAGTCCCTATTATAAATTTGGATAGCGTTATAAAAAGACGGAGATTTTTCACTATAATAAAGGTTTTTTGTATTTCCCAATGAATGAAAAACAAAACGATATTGTTGTTTTTACTGACGTTTCGCTATTTAATGCTGATAGCTTTATCAAAGTATTATTAAACCGGAATTTACAAAATCCACTCAGCATATCAAATGAACTGTTGTCAAGATTTGACAGGATAGTTCTATAATATTTGGGCGCCGAGTGAGAAGTAGACATTTGTAAAAAATTATATTTGTAAAATCTCAGCGATATTGAAATGAGTAATTCCAACGTTTCGTTCGGCAATCTGGTCCGAACTTCTTCAGGGAAATTAATCGAAATTAACATAACAGAGGTTTATATATAAAAGGAACATCTTTGTTTTTAAAAACTTTGTCCAATCATGATTCATAAAACAAATATTAACAAGTATAATAAAAAAATTGTACGAGTTGTGATCAAAATTTGACCTCAGACTTACAAATATTGATCTACCTTTGTTAAACACTTTAAACACAGTGTGTATATATATTATGTGTGTGTGCGAATAAACAGTTGTAAAATAATGTCTTAACGTCTCCATAAGTAGATATAGACAGTCGGGAAACTTTGACCAAGTATTATTAGTTAGTGATACATATCCATTCTTCAAATAAAGTATAATTATATTTGAATAGTTTACACACAAAGATAAGTTTTGTAATTGGTAATATTTTGAGCAAAATTACTGCCCGTGTTCACACCACTGTTGGAATTGTTTTATTCACACATTTATGATTTGTATTCATATATATAGTTCATTATTATTATTTTTTGCTCATTCATGTTTTGTGTTGCATATGTGTGTTCAGAATTATACTCCACATTCATTCATGTGTTTGTATTTAGAATTATATTCCAAGTTGTTGATAGTTGTACTGAGTCACCCTTGTTACATGTATCCGGTGTGACTTTAATGAATATCGATTCTGTTATGAGTCTTTCTTTCCATTTGTTCATGTTTGTTTATATAATACACACATTCTCTCAATCGATATTGTGGTTTTTGTCCCATGCATGTGCAGCTATCGATTAATTTTTTTCAAGATTTTTGTAAGCTTGTGTCCCTGTTGGTTGACCTTTAGTTAGGCGTTTATGTTCATTCACTCTTATTTTGAGTGATCTGGACGTTTGCCCCACATATTTAGTTGGACAGTCAGCACAAGATATTTTATAAATCAAATTGTTTTTATCCGATTAGATTTGTCGGTTTAAAGGTTGTTCGAATGCCGATATTTCTGAGGTTTCTTTGTATTGCCTCTGATGTACCATTTTTATATGGTATTGCGACTGTTTTTTTCCATTCTTCCTTCTTGTTATTCTCCGGTTTTACTCTCCTTTTTCTCTTTTTTATATTATCTTTTATAAATTCTCTAGGGTAGTTGTTTTCGAGTAGCATTTTGAATAGGACTTTTATTTCTTTACGCTGGTCCTCTGGTGCTGTTGTAAGTCTATGTATTCTATCTGCAAGACCTTGTATTAATCCTCGTTTTACCGAGAGTGGATGAGCTGAGTAATAATCAAGGAATCTTCCAGAATGTGTGGCTTTTCTATATATCGTTGTTTTTATGCTACCATCTGTCATTCTTTGTAGTTTGCAATCTAACATGGGCAGTTCTCCAATTTCATTCTCTAATTTCATAGTAAATTTTATTGAGTCGGCGTGTCTGTTTATGTGTGAGAAAAGTTTCTCAGCATCGTCTTTTTTCACTATTACTAGTGTGTCGTCTACATATCTCCACCAACATTTTAGTGATGATCTGAATGGTTTAAGGGCATTCTCCTCCCAATAATCCATGAATATGTCAGCTATAATTGGTGAGATTATATCCATTCTTATTTATTAATCAGGATTTCCTATGCGTCATCTAACATCTATATATATATATAACAAAGAGTTAAGAGGTGAGAAAATACACTTAGGTCAAGTTAAAAGGACATATTAAAAGTTAAAATAACAGTGAAGATCACTCAAACCAAATGTCACCCCTTAACTTTTCGTTATATATATATGCTGAGTAGATTTTGTAAATTCCGGTTTAATAATACTTTGATAAAGCTATTAGCATTAAATAGCGAAACGGCAGTAAAACCAACAATATCGTTTTGTTTTTCATTCATTGGGAAATACAAAAACCCCTACTATAATGAATATCATATACCCAATGCCAAATTTTTTCAAACCGTTAGAAAGTGAACTTGGTTTGGACATATATAAGACGGAGATTATCTGAAATATGTGATGTGATTTACTTGCGCTATACATTTCGAACAATCTGATCCCTCACACATTTACTTGTCAAGTCGATATATACATGGAAAAGTTAAATTAAACAAAGTGATAAAAAGAGGATTTAAGAATGATTAACACAACGTTTGGTAATCCAATCAAATAAGGATTACCAAGGTAGGTAGGTTAAGAGTAATAATAAACTGTTTTTGAATACACAGGGAGGGGCTTAAGTTTATGAATAGCTATAGCCTCAGCGTATTTCAATAAGCGCCCTTGACCATTTTATAGATGACCTTAAAGGCTGTCTTAACATCAATCTTATGGTTCATCTCGATTAGATGTTTAGCTATAGACGAAGTTCGTTGTCTAACACCTGCATCTATTGGTTTTTCATAATTCATTTGTTTTTCTAACCATTTTGGATATTCTCGCTGTCCCACCCTCAAATGCAAAGTGCGATTACTCCTCCCTATGTATGTGTCTGTGGACATGGGATGTGACATAATCACTTGTACACTTTTGAGGTTTGCAGTGTAGCATATTTTTAGCTTTTTCCATAATTACAAGCTAGGCTGCATAGTAGGTTCTACGGATGATCGAATTCAACCTTTGTCTCAAAATCCTACTGTTTATTTCCACGTTATATGGTAATTTGATGAAAACCTTTTTCTTAGGGACAGTATAAATTGTAGGTTTATAGGCTAGTTAACTTCTACACCTGTTTAAAAATTTTAAAGGATATCCGTTTTCAACAAGAGTATCCATGAATATTTCATTTTCTTTGTCTATAACATCAGCCGTGCAAATACGCTGAATCCTCCTAAATAGACACTTTACCAAGCCTCTCTTATACTGTAATGGACAGAAGCTGTGAAAATTAAGGCACTGCCCTGTCCAAGTGGGCTTTCTGTAGATGGACCGTCTTAATTAGCCATTATCTCTTCGACTCAGAAGTGTGTCTAAAAATCCAAGCTGGTTGCGCGACTTTCTTCCTCGTATGTAAGACTAATATTATTCTGTACAGAGTTAAGTCTGTCTAATAGACGACTCGCATCTTCATGATTATCGCATATCAAAATGATATCATCTACATACCTTCTATAGAAGGGCAATTTAGAAGTTAAATCAAGGGACAAGTTCTCAACATTGCATTACCAAATGTTGTGTTAATCATTCTTAAATCCTTTTTTATGTCACTTTGTTTAATTTAACATTTTCATATATATATATATCGACTTGACAAGTAAATGTGTGAGGGATCAGATTGTTCGAAATGTATAGGACAAAATACATCACATTAGTTTTCAGATAATCTCCGTCTTCTTATAACGCTATCCAAACCTCTGTTATGTTAATTTCTATTGATTTCCCTGAGGAAGTATGGACCAGTTTGCCGAACGCAAGAAACGTTGGAATTACTCTTTTGAATATTGCAGAGATTTTAAAAAGTGTCATTTTTACATATTTGAATAAGGCGTTTAGAAGACAAATTTCAAGAGATAATATTACAGTACAGAAAAACCACATCTAGAAAAGACAGCTTCTGTACCAAAGAAAGCTATCTTTATTAACCTACTCCACTCAAGGGTGATTAAATTATGCAGTTGACAGCTAGCTCAAAGACTTAAGTCAGCCATCGAACGCACATTCTATGCCGCCACATCTCTTCCCCTCTCACATGCAGAACATTTTCGATCTCTGTACCTACGATTAAAGGACGAAATTCTGTGGACTCTACTTCAAACTGTAACTTCGCTGTTCACCTGCAGTTGCGGTGACGCACACCTATATATAGGTAGAACCAATAGAATGTTTCACTGTCGTCGAAAAGAACATGTTCTAAACTGGTTTTTAAAACTCATAGAAAATCCCGATGCAATTAATCTGATTAGAAATCCAGCATCATCATCCATTGCAAAGCACTTATTAATGTCAGGTCACAAATTTAATACTAATGACTGTTTCACAACTATTTCATCACAACTCTAATTCAAGGTTGGTTATTAAAGTGATGGAAGCACTTTGGATTAATCACATACAGCCTAAACTGTGTGTACAAAGAGAACACAATTGATTTCAACCTTCGCTTACCATTGACTGACTACTTGACCTAATTAAATATGATTGGTCATTAGTATGTACTTTTGTTTCATATATAACTGAGTATTTGTCATGCACTTTATTATATTCTAATATTGTGGTGAACCCTGTTAGTTATAAAGCGGTTGTAAAGAAACTACGAGATGACGATATCATCTCGCGATAATTATCTTCTAAATGCCTTCCTTATTTAAATTTATCAAAGGGACTAATTGTTTTAATCATACAATTTTGTTTGTTTATTATACATGTTGATGCCTGTTTCATGACTCATGTGATTAGACAAAGTTTTTAAAAACAAAAGATGTCCCCCTTTTCTACATAAACCTTTGTTGTGTTAATTTGGATTAATTTCCCTGAATAAGTTCGGACCAGTTTGTTGAACTCAAGAAACGTCGGAATTACTCCTTTCAATTTCTCTGAGATTTTACAAATATAAACTTTTACAAAATGTCCACAGTTAGTGAATTGTAAAGTTTTTCTACAATTTTGATGTCAATCATAAATAAATTATTGATGGAAACTTTAGTTAATAACTTGGTTAGTTAAGTTGCGTTATTATTTTTTTTTCATCTTACTTGGAAGTTTTGGTTCCGACTGACGCCTCGTTTGAGGTATCGTCCTCAATGCTGGCGGTTTAAGTACTTCATCTGATCCACCTGAATCACTGTAGTCTTCACTGTCCTCTTCGGATGTATAACTCCGCTGTTGGATATCTGGAGATTTTGGTTCTTGTTGTCGTATAGGTATACGATCAATAGTTTGAGGTTTATACGGTATTGTTGGTTCATCAACCAATCTGGGATCATAAACACTATGAAGTCCTGAACGTTCAGTTAAATCTTGAAGTGATCTATTTCTTTCATTAGGTGGTCGAGCACCATGAGGAATAGAACCAGGCAGATTCATGTAATGATTTTCATTAGCTGTAAAAAGGTTATAAATTATGGTTATTTCTATGTTAGAGTTACGAAGTTTCTCTTTTATACAAATTTATTTTAAAATTTCTGTATACTACTAGTTAATTTATGTGAGTAGTTTGATACCGATCATGCATTGTCTTCTGCATAATCCAGTCCGCCACAATTAAAAACATCATCGCTAATGGTAATAAGCAGGCAGCCTTGGCTTACTCCATTCTGTATTCACTTGGAACGCCTCACTGAGTGATTTATCCGTTGTGGATCACCTGGCACGTGGAGGATAGGAGGGATAGGGCGGACTCCTGCTTTTCAGTATACACGTCCTTTGATCGACAGACGAAAAATGTCTATGCTAGAGATGACGTAAGTCGGCAAATGGCGCACAAACCATTCGTATCTGTACTTAGCTTTTGTAAGTGATCACTTCATTGGGATTTTTACCCAACCCCCACCCCTATTACATCCTACAACACTAGTGTGCAATACAAAAGACTGTGTACTCTAAATCCCCTCTGATATACACTCATCTATAGATATCGAATAATCTAGGAGTTAAACTATTCACAGTAGTTTAATACATTTATTCCCACTTATGCAATTGAATAAAGCAAGAACAACAGTTTGTGGTGCAGAATAAATTGGTATCATCATTGCTGATTTCGCTCCATTATACATAAGATTTTATTTTGATAAATCACACAGTGTTGTACAGTAATATTAACTGATGACGACGTTTCGAGCACAAATTATTGCCACTTATAATCATATCAAGTCACTACTCACACAACTTTTTTCCTTCATTTATATACATATGTGGAATCGATTAGATATTGGAATAAAAATCAATATCGGATCATGTACATTCAGAAATAATAATAATAATAATATGAGTGTTATTGATCAGTTACAATCAGATGGGAAATAAGATGAGTGTTTTTATAATCATAATAAGTTACTTGTTAGAATGTTGTGTTGTGCTCGAATTGGAATGGAATTTTAAGATTATTTATTATCCTCCTCTGATTTGACTGATTGGCGGTAATAATATCTTCCATATCTCTGGTATTTGCATTGAGTCATTTCTGTTGCATGTGTTGTGTTGAATGTAGACTCGATGAGCTAGACAGGATTTAGTAATCAATCTCTCTCGCTCTCCACCTACATAGATTACTTTTTAGAATTGTAACCCTTTCCCACTCTATTGTGTGATTGTATGTTAATGCATACATGCAGTGCTATTGCTGAACTTTTTTCTAAATTACTTATCTTTTCAGGGTCAAACATTCTTACCTTAGCTAAATTCTTATGTTCCGACAATCTGATTACTCCCGACCTACTAGTTTGACCTATGTAGTTGACTTAACTCACAGTCATTTCAAGGTATTTTGTAAATTACATTATTTTGTCTAATCGGGTCAACCAACAGGGTCCTTTAACCTACGTACAGAGCTTGGCCTACCTGAGTGAGTTTGTAGGTTTGAATGACACCCTAATTCCTCCTTTGTTATTTAGAATCCTACGTAGGGTCTAAGATGTCCCCTCTTTATGTGGTATAACTGTAGATGACTTATATTCTGTCTTATTTATATTGTCATTACTAGTTCCAAAATTATTTTCATTTTGTTTTTGGCCTTTACTAATCTTCCTAATGAATTTTATAGGATAGTTATTCAACACCAACGCCGTTTCTATCACAAAATTCTATTTCAACTCAAACGCATCACACAATTTTAACAAGTTACTTATTATGACTATAAAAACACTCATCTTATTAGAACAAGACATATAAGCGAACAATATTGTTTTCAAATGAACTGTAGTCACGATTTGACAGAATAGTTCTATAATATTTGGGCGCCGAGTGAGAAGTAGAAATTAATCCCTGAAGAAGTTCGGACCAGATTGCCGAACGAAACGTTGGAATTACTCATTTCAATATCGCTGAGATTTTACAAATATAATTTTTTACAAATATTGTTTTCAATTAGATCTTCTTCAGGCTTTACTCTCATTTACATAGACTTATATATATAAAATTTTAACCAATGACGGCGATTTAGTGGATCAAATAATAATAGTAATCATAATAATAATAATAATAATGTAACCGGAAGGTCCCGGGTTCGAATCCCAGTGGGTGCGTACTGCCGATGATTCCCAAACTAGGATGAAACAGCAGCTGTCCAGTACTCCCTGGTTTTCAATGGTTCTCTCACTGATATCAATCCGTGATCAACCCGTAAAACATAACTAATCCTTACAAACCAAACTATAGAAAGTTAATCTGATGCTCGCTAGTGACTTGCTACAGGTTGGAGTTTCCTGAGTTCTAGTGAGAAGTCGTGACCAGTGAGGTCCAATTAGATGTCACGTGTGTGGATGGATGTCCCACCAACGACAATGGTTGGGGTCGCGCTAAATCACGAATTGGTAGAAGTTAGAATTCACAAGCCATTGAATCGGGTCCCAGTGGCTGAATGGTATACGAGCTTGCCTTGTAACCGGAAGGTCCCGGGTTCGAATCCCAGTGGGTGCGTACTGCCGATGATTCCCAAACTAGGATGAAACAGCAGCTGTCCAGTACTCCCTGGTTTTCAATGGTTCTCTCACTGATATCAATCCGTGATCAACCCGTAAAACATAACTAATCCTTACAAACCAAACTATAGAAAGTTAATCTGATGCTCGCTAGTGACTTGCTACAGGTTGGAGTTTCCTGAGTTCTAGTGAGAAGTCGTGACCAGTGAGGTCCAATTAGATGTCACGTGTGTGGATGGATGTCCCACCAACGACAATGGTTGGGGTCGCGCTAAATCACGAATTGGTAGAAGTTAGAATTCACAAGCCATTGAATCGGGTCCCAGTGGCTGAATGGTATACGAGCTTGCCTTGTAACCGGAAGGTCCCGGGTTCGAATCCCAGTGGGTGCGTACTGCCGATGATTCCCAAACTAGGATGAAACAGCAGCTGTCCAGTACTCCCTGGTTTTCAATGGTTCTCTCACTGATATCAATCCGTGATCAACCCGTAAAACATAACTAATCCTTACAAACCAAACTATAGAAAGTTAATCTGATGCTCGCTAGTGACTTGCTACAGGTTGGAGTTTCCTGAGTTCTAGTGAGAAGTCGTGACCAGTGAGGTCCAATTAGATGTCACGTGTGTGGATGGATGTCCCACCAACGACAATGGTTGGGGTCGCGCTAAATCACGAATTGGTAGAAGTTAGAATTCACAAGCCATTGAATCGGGTCCCAGTGGCTGAATGGTATACGAGCTTGCCTTGTAACCGGAAGGTCCCGGGTTCGAATCCCAGTGGGTGCGTACTGCCGATGATTCCCAAACTAGGATGAAACAGCAGCTGTCCAGTACTCCCTGGTTTTCAATGGTTCTCTCACTGATATCAATCCGTGATCAACCCGTAAAACATAACTAATCCTTACAAACCAAACTATAGAAAGTTAATCTGATGCTCGCTAGTGACTTGCTACAGGTTGGAGTTTCCTGAGTTCTAGTGAGAAGTCGTGACCAGTGAGGTCCAATTAGATGTCACGTGTGTGGATGGATGTCCCACCAACGACAATGGTTGGGGTCGCGCTAAATCACGAATTGGTAGAAGTTAGAATTCACAAGCCATTGAATCGGGTCCCAGTGGCTGAATGGTATACGAGCTTGCCTTGTAACCGGAAGGTCCCGGGTTCGAATCCCAGTGGGTGCGTACTGCCGATGATTCCCAAACTAGGATGAAACAGCAGCTGTCCAGTACTCCCTGGTTTTCAATGGTTCTCTCACTGATATCAATCCGTGATCAACCCGTAAAACATAACTAATCCTTACAAACCAAACTATAGAAAGTTAATCTGATGCTCGCTAGTGACTTGCTACAGGTTGGAGTTTCCTGAGTTCTAGTGAGAAGTCGTGACCAGTGAGGTCCAATTAGATGTCACGTGTGTGGATGGATGTCCCACCAACGACAATGGTTGGGGTCGCGCTAAATCACGAATTGGTAGAAGTTAGAATTCACAAGCCATTGAATCGGGTCCCAGTGGCTGAATGGTATACGAGCTTGCCTTGTAACCGGAAGGTCCCGGGTTCGAATCCCAGTGGGTGCGTACTGCCGATGATTCCCAAACTAGGATGAAACAGCAGCTGTCCAGTACTCCCTGGTTTTCAATGGTTCTCTCACTGATATCAATCCGTGATCAACCCGTAAAACATAACTAATCCTTACAAACCAAACTATAGAAAGTTAATCTGATGCTCGCTAGTGACTTGCTACAGGTTGGAGTTTCCTGAGTTCTAGTGAGAAGTCGTGACCAGTGAGGTCCAATTAGATGTCACGTGTGTGGATGGATGTCCCACCAACGACAATGGTTGGGGTCGCGCTAAATCACGAATTGGTAGAAGTTAGAATTCACAAGCCATTGAATCGGGTCCCAGTGGCTGAATGGTATACGAGCTTGCCTTGTAACCGGAAGGTCCCGGGTTCGAATCCCAGTGGGTGCGTACTGCCGATGATTCCCAAACTAGGATGAAACAGCAGCTGTCCAGTACTCCCTGGTTTTCAATGGTTCTCTCACTGATATCAATCCGTGATCAACCCGTAAAACATAACTAATCCTTACAAACCAAACTATAGAAAGTTAATCTGATGCTCGCTAGTGACTTGCTACAGGTTGGAGTTTCCTGAGTTCTAGTGAGAAGTCGTGACCAGTGAGGTCCAATTAGATGTCACGTGTGTGGATGGATGTCCCACCAACGACAATGGTTGGGGTCGCGCTAAATCACGAATTGGTAGAAGTTAGAATTCACAAGCCATTGAATCGGGTCCCAGTGGCTGAATGGTATACGAGCTTGCCTTGTAACCGGAAGGTCCCGGGTTCGAATCCCAGTGGGTGCGTACTGCCGATGATTCCCAAACTAGGATGAAACAGCAGCTGTCCAGTACTCCCTGGTTTTCAATGGTTCTCTCACTGATATCAATCCGTGATCAACCCGTAAAACATAACTAATCCTTACAAACCAAACTATAGAAAGTTAATCTGATGCTCGCTAGTGACTTGCTACAGGTTGGAGTTTCCTGAGTTCTAGTGAGAAGTCGTGACCAGTGAGGTCCAATTAGATGTCACGTGTGTGGATGGATGTCCCACCAACGACAATGGTTGGGGTCGCGCTAAATCACGAATTGGTAGAAGTTAGAATTCACAAGCCATTGAATCGGGTCCCAGTGGCTGAATGGTATACGAGCTTGCCTTGTAACCGGAAGGTCCCGGGTTCGAATCCCAGTGGGTGCGTACTGCCGATGATTCCCAAACTAGGATGAAACAGCAGCTGTCCAGTACTCCCTGGTTTTCAATGGTTCTCTCACTGATATCAATCCGTGATCAACCCGTAAAACATAACTAATCCTTACAAACCAAACTATAGAAAATAATAATAATAATAATAATGTGGTAAATGTTTTGAACGAAGTTAATAGCGATTATTATAATAATAACAAAATATTGTTAATAAGGCTTATATAGGTGATAAGAATAACAAAGTTAGTATATGCATAAATGTAGACAATTCAATAAATAAATAAATTAGGTCAAATCAAATGGAACGATAATCAGAGTTTAAATAAATATCATAAAAGTACGAAGGAGAGGGATGATAAGAAAGGGTGGGAGGGTTTTGAATAGAATTCACCTAGGCCAAGGGAGAGACAAAGGTAGAACAAATTTCTTTTGTATACAAAGACTAGGATTGTTCTCTCGAATTCCCATAGCTTCGGCTAAGTGTAAAAGACGGGTTCTGATTCCGTTCGAAAGACTTGATGGAATGCGGTAAATAACTTTGAAAGCACTATTTTTGTCCACTTGGTGACCACTATCAATCAAATGAGCCAAAATAGAACTTCGTATGGACTTTATTTGACCTTTTCCGAACCATGAAGGAAGATGCTCATTAATGCGTTTGTTAAGCTGTCTAGTTGTTCGGCCTATGTAGCTTTCTCCACAGGAGCAACTAAATTTATAGATACACATCTTATTTCCCATCTGATTGTAATTGATCAATAACACTCATATTATTATTATTATTTCTGAATGTACATGATCCGATATTGATTTTTATTCCAATATCTAATCAATTCCACACATGTATATGAATGAAGGAAATAAGTTGTGTGAGTAACTTGATATGATTATGAGCAGTAATAGTTTGTGCTCGAAACGTGGTCATCAGTTAATATTACTGTATAACACTGGGTGATTTCGCTCGTTAGCTCCTCATCAGCTCGGCTGCTAACAGGCCAAAGTCACTATTAAGTATATCTACAGAAACAGTTTTACAGTACTTGCACAGAGAGTTCATTTTTAAACAAAAATCAATCAGTCAATCAATATATGCACACAATAATAATTATATATATAATAATGATAAACACATTATCCCGAACAATAATTATCATATACAATGGAACATTTCGGCATTACGTAATCAGATGAAAGAGAGGTGAAAACATTCAGTTGCCAGGGCAAAAAAAAGACTGATAACTACGATCTCCATCAAGCTCCTGAAGCCTGATTTATGTGTTCAGAAAGAAGCAGTTATCAGACTTTCTTTGCCCTGGCAACTGAATGTTTTCACCTCTCTTTCATCTGATTACGTAATGTCGAAAGTTTCCATTGTGTATGATCATTATTGTTCGGGATAAAGTGTTTATTATTATTATAAATAATTATTATTGTATGCATATATTGGTTGATTGATTTTTGTTTAAAAATGAACTCACTGTGCAACTATGTTAAAACTGTTTTTGATGTAGTTGTGTTATCTGAGCTGGATAGTTAATTTGATAAACTTTCGTCGACCTACTAGGCGACATCTTCAGCGCATACTTCAATCTGTTGAAGTGAGCGTTTAGATTTCTCCACGAGTTTAATCATCTCTCCTAGTGAGTGCCCTTGGACGTGATTGACTGTTGTTTGTGTGTTTTCACACCTTCTAGGCTGCTTTTATTGGTATTGTTTTTTATTACTTCCTTGACCTGAAGTTTGACCCTTTGTGTGTGGGGTTTCAAGACAAGTTCAAGACAAAGAAACGATTAGTTCCAATACAAGTAACCTAGAAGGTGTGAAAACACACAAAAACAACCAATCACGTTCAAGGTGGTCACCAGGAGAGATGACTAATAGTGAACTCGTGGAGAAATCTAGAAGTTCACTTCAATTCAACTAGAAGTATGCACTGAAAATGTCGCCTAGTAGGATGATGAAAGCTTCGCAAATTAACCATCCAGCTCAGAGAACACAACCACATCAAAATCATCCACCTGAGCTACAAATCTTCTCTATCATATGTTAAAACTGTTTCTGTAGATGTACTTTATAATGACTTTGGCCTGTAAGCAGCTGATGAAAAGCCAACGACGCAATAAACAATGATGGTACCAGTTTATCCTGCAAAAATCATTCTTGTTCTTGCTTTATTCATATTCACAGTAGATAAATCTTCACAAATATATATAATACTAAATTACTCACCATAGTCTGGCTTTCTATCAGATTTCCTGGTGGATTTTTCATCACCTCGTTTTGGTTTTGAACGGCTATGATCCATAGGCTGAGGCGGTGGAGGATGACGATGTGGTTTAACAGGTTCTGTATCTATAATGAAACAACAGCAAACAAACAAAAATGACAGAACAAACAGGATAAAAATGTGTGTTAATTCAAGGCATAGTAATTCAATATTTTAAGATATGAGGCGCTGGAGGACAATCTAATTCAACTTCAAAGTAAACTTTAATACAAATCGGCATAAACGAGAGAAAACAATCGACATTCTAGATTAGTTTTTTGTTTCTTATTTATAACATTTATCGCTGAAGAAACTATTCGGACCCTTGAAACCGTCCAGGGAATAATAACGTGCCTGGACCTAAGCTTCTTCTATGTCCATTGATAATTTCTAAATAATCAATTTTATTCAGTCTTATTGTGTCATGATATAGTTTCTTTTCCTCTGGATTTAAGCTTGTTATAATTCTTATCCCATTGGGTTCCTAGGGGAACACAAGGTTTTAGCAGCACATTTTTGTGTTACTCTGGTTACTGTGGTCATTCGTACCTGGCTCCGCGATTGCCTAGAAGCTCTAATCTCCTCCTCTTCAATGACATCTGCTATGCCGCCTACGGACTGACACACACTCGTCAGTCACTTGCCGTTCGGGTTTCCTTTGCGGGCCTGGCTTCTGATGTCATCCAGTGGTTCCTTCGGCATGTGTCCAATTCACCTCCATTACCTTCTGCATATCTGTTGCATAAAATAAGTTTCTGGTAGGTATACTGCTGATCTTTTCTGGTCAACAATTTGAAATTTAGTATTGAGGCAGCGAAGGTAGCTACTTTTCATGACACGCTAACCAATTCTCTGAACTATATGTAACGACATAAGACTAGAGTCAGGCAACAGATCGTTTACTGACGAAATCAAGGGATATTTAAGTATATATATGTGATGAGAGCAGCCTGCTAGCCAATTGGTTGACATTAATCTACATCAGTGTCTAGGTCACTTATATTGGCCGTGAGAAAATATGAACAAGGCTGATTCAACAACCAATCACAGCAAACTTAAACGTGGGCAAATGTGATTCGCAGATAGATGGCTCCACTTTCCGCGGAACTCGAAAACAACCAATCAGAAGACTGCGTTTGTCTACTTGACTAGGCTATAATAATGTATGTGAAATTTATATAAATACATGTTGATTTTCGTAATAAAACGATCTGTCGCCTGGCCCTTGTCTTCTGCTGTTACATTTGGTGTCACTGCCTACGGACAAATGGAAAGCCTATGCCCTGCAGTTTTTGATGGAGACATATGGATCTTCGGGCAGGACTTCAAGGCTTCTGCGCAGTTGAGTGGCGTTCAAGATCTGTCAGCGATGGAGCTGCTACTTGGAACGCTGTGGCCATTTCTTTGAAGGTCAGACCATATATCTGCGAATCGTATCCGCCCACTCAAAGGCTGCTGTGATTGGTTGCTGACTTCCCCAAGGTTAGGCTTCGTTCTTGTTTTTTGCTCATGACTAAGATTTGGGTCGTAAACATTGATGTAACTTGCTTTCTACCAATTTTGGCTAGCAGACAGCTCTCACATCATACTAGCTTCGGTGTTACTTCTGCAATTTGTTGGTTTTCGCCGGTAGATTCCACGTAATTGGCTTCAGGCTATCTTAACAAACTGTGAACTCCAGACAGACTGAGGTGTACGTTGTATTAAATTAACTCATAAAGGGAAACAGATGCAAAGTTGGAAGAATATTTCTCAGTATAATTGTGTACAGAAGCGTATCAGTCAGTTGAATCTAGCATAATTTGAAAATATACATAGTCACACCCACACCCACACAAAAGAATCTAATGAAGGGAATTTGTGTAGAAGTGAGAATAGTCTGATAAAAAGTGGCAATGACTTCCAGAATTCTCGTGTTTAGGGTAAAGTTCTACAATAGCGCCCCAAGGAATGTGAACGCACAAGTGACCTTCAGCCGACCAATCAGAAAATTGGGGATTTTTGTATAAAATTTCACGTATATTTACACAAAAAAGCATGATAAAAACATTATACAGGGTATTTTTGTCTAATATGAGATAAAAAGATGTCCCAATTATATTGAGGAGTTTCAGTTTTTAAATTAAACCAATTTCTATACATATATTCATCCAGATGACCAAAAATTACTTGGTTTTGAGAGCCGTTTACAGCTTTGATTCTATATTTTAGTCTTCTTCAGAAACCTTCGATTGAATTCGTATGAGTACCGGTTCTGGGATCAACGAAGTCATCCGAATGGTTTACTCGATGATGTATATATCCCAAAGCCGATAGTGGATTATATCCTGCCCATTCCTCCATATGAATGGTAGTACCTGATAAGACCAGCCTTTCAATAATAGGAAGAAGTGTATCAGCACTCCTATCTGGAATATATTCGATTAATCCTTTCCGAATATGGGTGTCGTAAATTCCCAGAACCCAAACGTTATTTGCCGTACCACGTCCTCGGTTGTACTTCTTTATTAGCACCTTTTCATCGATATTAACTACAACACCGACTCCTCTCAATACTTGTGTAATACTGTTCATTTTCCGTGACGCCAAATCTCAATAAAATTGGAACGATTGCACAGTAGACGTTAATGTATTATCTGTCTGAGCCGCAGTTGATCTCACCCCGGACTTTAAAATCCAATAATGGCTCGGAAACAGGATATTGGTCAACGAAAGTTTCGATTTTTCAAAGAAAGTTCCTAGAGGACAATTAAGTGAAGGTGTCACTTACCAGTACGAAAACTTGTTCGTTTCCTACACTCCATACATCTGAATATGTATCCATCAATGACCTGAGTATACGGCTGCAGGTTCATAGAAGCACCACAACTACATATCCGAGTACGTCTATTAATCCATTATCTAGGCAGTATTGAAATACGTGATCTGGGTGAAATTTGCATCTGAACAGATGAACACTGCTCATTTTCGCTCTAGAATATTGGTACGCTTCTCAATCAACGACTAGCAAGCGTTCAAGGTCATTTGAGCGTTCGCACTCCCGGGACTCTATTCTTAAACTTCCTTATGTTTAGTAGGAAGTGTCAAATCAATGTTTCTCCATAGTTCATAGATGTGATGTATGCATCACACGAAAACCATTTCCAACAGGTAACCACAACCTTCCACCAACAGCACTCTTTACTTGATACGGAAGACCTTGATGGACGGAGAGGATAACCAAGAAACAAGAAACTCTGAAAGTGAACCACTCGATAACCTATTACCCAACAAGTACTCAGAAGAAATGGAGGTAGATTGGGCACACGCTGAGGAGACCAATGAGTGACATCACATATTGGGCCCACAACGGGGAACTTGAATGACAAACGACCGATGAGTTTTGCATCGGTCCAAAAGTGACATAGAGGATAACAAGTCAAGAGGCAAACGTACAGCCAACTTGAAAAAAACACCTCAGAGTATTCCAATCCACGGTTTATTTCAGATAATCTCACTGTAAAGTTTTGTAATACGTTCAAACCAACTCAATTTTTGGCTAAACATTTTCATGGCTCCACTAAGCTTATCTTCCTCTCCTAATCTGTCTCCTAACACACACACACACACACACACAGTCTTCTGATGTATTTTAGTATCTATCATAGAAACAACAGGCGTATCTGTTAGATATTATGAGATCGAAAACGCCTTATAGCTAAACGGCCTCACACATGTAGTTTAAAAGACCTAGAAAACAAATGACCTTAAACAACCAATCAGATTATCCGATGTGTGTGGGTCTAACCAATCAAAACGCAGAGTTGATTTTATTGATTGATTAACATTAACATAAGGCAAAGGATATATACAACAAATAAAATACTAATGTCAGCTCATGATGAAATCCTGAAACCAAACCAAATCCCTACAAACCAACACTTAAAATACATTTAAATTTATGTGTTCAATGTACACTAAGCTGGGTTCCAAACTGTCCGCTTTTGCGTCAACTCATAGTTAAGATCTGATTATTCGTCGGCAGAAAGACATCCTCTACTCTGTAGTATGTACCACACCCACATTTTTCAAATAAAAATGTAAAAGAAAAGTAAAACAATCACTGAACAAACTGTAGTTGAAATGGTGACGACGGTTAGTATAGTACGAATAAAATGTGATGAATAGGGAGAAATTAACTCCGGTGACACATATACGAAATTTCATAACAATCTAACTAACTGATTTAGGTAAGATAATGAAAAAATTTTGTTTTTTTATGAAATAAATTTTGGATTACATTTATTGCTATGGCGATAATATAATTTTCAAATAATCCATACCAGTTTACGGATAAAATAACTGCTGTTTACTACTACGCACTCTGTAGGGCCCACATAGGTAAAAATTAACTATTAAGCAGACAATATACTTGATACTAATAGGTTCACTGTAGTACTCTGAGGAATACTTTGCACCTTCGTGTGATATAGCACTGATGAAGAGTCCCAAAGTGGGACGAAACATTTCTCTAGGATTCTTTAACAATTATCTGTAATCTACATTAAAATTAATCCGAACTTCCTACAAAAAACTATAATCTACATATCATTATAGATTACATTAACACTAGTAAAAATAAAGGCTAAATTGTATCTCAGATAGTAGTTTAAATAGGTGAATTAAAAACAATTGCTAATTAATGTAACCATTACAAAGGTCATCATTCAAACAAACACATACACATATATGTAAACACATTAGCTGCTATGGTAACATCCTGCAGTGTAAAGATCACAGTAAACAAAGGTAAAGTTTCCAACTGGCAGCTACGCATACTTAGGTGAAAAAAAAAAATTTGACCAAATTGTTATTTAGCTTAAAAAAGAACAAGTCTGATAAGATGGTTACTAGGTGATCAATAAACAAAAGAAATTCGTTTTTGATCAAACAGCCAGAGTAAAGGCGAACTGGAAATCATATCAGAAATTGCCTGTATTGTGAGGTGAAAGTATAAGATTTTTATATTCCTGTACGTGGGTCGGTGGCATAGCGGTTAGGAAGCTAGCCAACCATGCAGTGGTCCGGGGTTCGATCCCAGGCCGAC